TGAAGAACAATAGTCATATACTGTCAAAGGCTAAGGGCTTCCAGGGAGCTCGCAGGAAGTAAAATTTTACCGAAATCGGTAAGGCCTTCCTTCTGTGTAAATGGAAAGCGATTGTGCAGGGGGCCTCACCTTCCTCCTGCATCTGCTTTTAGCCTTGCTTTTGTTGTGTGTAAAGTGGGGAAAAATAAAGAGGGTAGTGGAATAACCGGCTGAGGAGCGAGAGCTCCATACCATGGAGGTCCCTTGCTTTCCTGTTAATTCTGCACACGCTTAAGGTTTGTGACGTGGAGAACTACGATGGGGAGGGGGGAAAGGTAGAGTTTTGTACACAACTTCCTCTAGTCTAAAATATTGTCTGGAGTGTGCTACATGCGCGCGCACCCAGCCCAAGATGACGATAAATAACCCAAACTCTAACTCTACGTCCCAATTGCTCGGCACTAACCGCACGTGGAGATCCACACAGATCTGTCAGTCTTTATTATATATAGTACAACTAGCCATCTCCTATCCAGAGCGGTACGGCAAAGAAAGGGCCGCCTACTCCTTGCACACTCAGTTTGTGGATTCTGGACGCAAATCCTACCCAGCCTGGGAGGGGCTTGGAAATTCATTTCCTGGTTGTCGAAGTTCCTTCTTTTGTACCTTGATGTCACCTACAGGCTCCAGATAAAGTCGCTTCAGGACTTTTCTCTTTTTTTCCTGACTGGCTGATGATTTTTTTTTCCGGAGTGGGGAGGGGGGGGGAGAAAGCATTATTGCCTTCCCACTTTTTGCCCATAAAATATGGAGCAGTTGGCGGCCATTCGTCTACTGAACGGCCGCTTTGCTTGTACGGAAGTGGGCACGCGGGGTTATGGGGAAGAATATTTGGGATAATAAATTATGACAACAGTCGTCCAAGGCAGATGATGCAACTCGATAGGATCGCAAAGAGCGCGAGCCTGCGCGGGTGGGGTGGGCGCACCGGGCCCTTTGCTTGGGAAAAGGTTCGGGGCGGGCAGCAACGGGAGGGATCTCCTGCTCCCTCTCCAGTTATGGCGAAGGTGCCAAAGCCTTGGGAGTGGGAGGAAAAGGAGGCGGGAGGGGAATGGATTCTCTCACCTGTTTCTAACAAGCAGGTCGCCGTCTCCCGGGAGCGGCACGGGCGCGTCGTGGCGAAGGGAAACAGCTTCTCGGAAGTTTGGATTCAGTTTAGTCACTACCAGTTTCTTCATGGAAGTGGGAATGGACGAGCCCTGGAAATCCATAAAGTGGCGCGAGTAGGACATGTCCACGATAGGCCGGGTCGGAGGAGCACTCAAACGCACCCGGGAAGGTCTCCCCGGAGAAATCAGATGCTGTTGGTTCAGCCAACGGTGCCAAGCTCCCCGAGACTTCAGCCACACGCTGATCCGCCCGTGGAAAATCATCGACCAACCTTTCGCCGCTCTCCCGGGTTCTTCAACCTAGGAGGAGTCTTTCGCAAGCGTGCAGCCCTCCGGCACAGGCAGGCTCGGTATATTGCGATTTGTGTATGTAAATAAAGTCTAATGCAGCGGACTGCCGCCTAGCTCCAAGTCCTCCCTTTTCCAGCCCCTCCGCCACTCGGCAAGATTAGATCAGCAGTTAGCAGCCGCTGCAGCAGTTTCGCCTGCGGCGAACTTTCTGTGTCCCGTCTTTAGGTTTTTTTTTTTAAAGCATAGACAAAGTTCGTTTCTGAGCTGAGCTTGCTTAAAACTTGCTGTTGTCGCAGGAACAACCTCCCCCCTCGCGCTGTTTTGTGCAGCCTTAGAACAAAACGGGCAGAATCACACAGCGTTCGAGTATGTGCAGAAACCGAAAGATTTGCCTTTCACTCAGGAAGGAAAACGTACTTTTGGAGAGAGACGAAGGAGCAAGCCCCCGACCTTATTCTACTGCATTTTTTTTGGGTGGAGGAGACTGATCTGCTTGCTAAGAAAGAGACTATAATTGCATATTCCAACCTGCCGCATCTACCCTTCCCCCCAGCTCTTTCCTTAAAGAAAAGAAAACACTCGGAACGGATGGTTTCTAAACCGTTCCTATAGAGACAAAAAAAGAAAACTCGAATGTAGGATTAGTTCAATAAAAGGTTAGGCTGGGAGCAAGAAGTTGCAGCTAATCTGGCAATGTTATTAGCAGCCTCCTAGAGCCGCTGCCTGCTGAGACAGGCCCCTCCCCTTCCGTGCGAAACGTTCACTTCCTCGTAAGGTGGTACAAATCAAACCAGAGCCGCTTGCGACCGCGACTGGAAACTGCTTGCATTGGGGTGAAAATACTGTAAAGAGATTTACGGAAGGATCGAAAGCATATTTTAAAATCTGGACAGGCGTGCATATGTGAGCTCAGAATGGTAGTAATTGTAATAGCAATAGCAGTAATAATAGCAATAATAGCAAAAATAATAATAATATACTTCCTATGTTCTCTTGTTCCTCGTGGTTTTATAACGTCCCATGACAAAATAAGGCTGGAAAATGCATTGATTGCTTTTTTGCCCCCCCTTCCTCCTGACCCGTTAGATATGATCTTAAATAATGTTGCCATATTTATTTTTGGCCTCTATTTGTTTTTTTAATCCATGACCGAGCTTTCAAATTTCTGCTATGCTCAATATTGCTGGTGGAAAGATAGTGTCTGCTTAAATTATTGGCTTTATACCTATTTATCTGGGAGAAAGCTCCACTAAACTCCTTAAATTTACTTTGGAGGAGATGCGCTATCCAGTAGTTTTTATACACCCACTTAACAGACCTCTCTCTCTCTCTCTCTGTCACGCACACAATCACTTTCGAGGAAGATTTGCTATACAAGATGCTTTGCATGCAAATCTTTGATGTTGCCAGATGCAGACAAACTAGGGATATGTTTGAAACTATGCCCTGGGAATCAATGCTTAATGTTAATTACAATAAACGCAGAAAAAGCTTTGCACAGGTTAGAATAGAAAAATTACTTATTTAACTCTTGATTACAGTGATTTCAAATGAATTAGAAATCCTTTCTTAAAACAGTTAAGTTTTATTTAAGAAATCACTTTACCTTTTACACAAAGGTATCATTTGTTTTGTTTAAGATTCTAGGAAGAAATGTCAATTTAACAAATTTATGAAACATCTTAACCTCCCATGTTTCCCATAAAGTGGTTTTTGTTTTTATATAGCTTACCTATGTTTAAAAATGTAAAAATCTTACCTATATGATCTTCCATAAAACAAACTTTTTAAAACGCCCCAATGTGGTGTGCCTCCCTTCCCCAAATTATTGGCAGTCAAGCTCCGGGGAACTTGAACTGTGCAGTCAATACTTGCCTTTAAAACAAGACTATCACTATTTGAGTTCTACTGTACAACAAGCCTCGTTTTCCAGGAACAATAAAATAAAATAAAATCTCTGCTATGGTATTTGCCGTGTGTTGTTTAGTCTGAAAGAAACAAAACAAAACAAAAGCAGCCCAAAGAAACATTAAAATTAAACAAAGCAATTAAAAAGATTGACAGGTATTGGTTTGTATGAGAGCTATTTGTAATTGTCAGGGTGACGTTGGCAAGAGGAGGAGGAGTAAAAAAAATCTGAAGCAGGAAAAGCAGCTCGATGTGTCTGTCTATCAGTTGAGACTGTCTGAAAGCTCTGGGATCTGAATGTGTGCTATATTTCAGTGAAATGAGAAGAGAGGGAGAGTAGATCTCTTTCTCCCAGGAGTTTAAAGGGGGGGGGGGAATAGGTCACGTTAATCTCTTCCACCCTGTGAATGTCTCGGCTTCTTTCTGGACCCCCCCACCTTTCACACAGTATCTCTGGGGGTTGTCCGGTGGGGTTTTTTGTTTGTTTTCGGTTACAGATCGAGATCAACTATAAACAATAATCCCCGTTAAAAACGTGTTTGCGTAATTCTAGTATCAGAAGAAACTGCGATTTTTGGAAGAGAGAGGGAGGGAGGGAAGCGAGGCATTAAAGTAATCCTCTTCGGTGGTGCCACTGTTTGATCTGTGACTCTTTGGAAGGTGGAGGAGTGACTGACATTTCCCATCCGGTGTGATCAGTATGTACGGGGGCTTTACTCCTTTTTACTGTTTGCTTTCTTGATGAGACCAAGTGATGGGAGGAGAAGGAAAGACTGGATCGACCTCGTTTTCTGCACAATGAAAAAGCTATTATCAGCGCAATAAATACCAGCATCGCCCAAATCCACGAGCTTTTTTTTTTTTTAAACAAGCCAGCGAAGGAGAAAGTTGCGCTTGGAGACTCTTTGATCTCGGAGAAAAGGCTTGCCGGGGGGTTGGGGAGAGGCAGCCGAGAGAGAAAGAGGATTGAATTCAAGCGTCTCTTCGTTTGCCGTTTGCTCCCTTCTCTTCCCCAAAGACGACGGCGGAGAAGTAATCTAGGGTGGAAGGAGAAGACGACGAGGGGAGAGCGCCGGACCGACTAAACGGATTTGGGCTGCGCGTCGCCGGAGCGAGCCAACCTCCCCCCCCCCCCGGTCTTCTCCATCTCCTCCCGGCTCACATCTTCGGGCAGAGGGACCGCGGCGCGAGGCGGCCGAGCTTTGTTTGGTCTCCGAAGTAACTTTTTCAAACAGCCACGGAAAAAGAAGGTGGGAGGAGGAGGAAAGCCCCAAAGGCGTGTGTACGCGCGCATTGGAGGGGGGGCGCGGGAAGGTCAGAAATCAACCTTGTAAATGAAAACATTGCCTCCGCGAGTTTTTGGCGTGGCGACGGCGCTTGGCATCCCCGCGCCCGGTCCGGGGGCAGCGGCATCCCAGCAGCACTGCCAGCCCCCCCTTTGCAACCTCCGCTCTCCGTTGGCGTCGTCAGGAGTTGACCCGGGAGAAGGACACCCGACGAGCCGCCGGCCCGGAGCAGCGAACCCGCGCAAACTTTTCGCCCCCTCCCCTCCCCTCCTTCCCCCGCCCCTCCCGCCGGCTCTCCCCAAGCGGACTTGGAAGTGGCAGAAGAAGCCCTTGGGCTGCTGCTCCCTTTCCCCATCCCTCTCTCCCACCCCCCCATTTTTGTTAGTCTTGTGTGTCTTATTTGTTTCTGCATGAGAAGAGTGGGGATTGGAAGAGTCCTGTGCGGAAACTCTCCAGCGGCGGCTGAGGGAGGAGGTGGAGGTGGAGGAGGAGGAGGAGGAGGGCGGCTGAAGAGACGGCGGCAACACCAGCATGCCGAGGAGAAAGCAGCAAGCTCCCCGGCGCTCTGCAG